TACCACACAAGCTTCCGGCTGCCAGCGCTCAGATTCTCGAGGCAACGAGCGACAGAAATGATCTCCACTGCGTCCCTTTCGGACCTCTTGCGGAGTACAGTATAGACTCAGACTCGACATGCAAACTTCCGCTAAATCCATCCGGCTCAAAACACTATGAAGGTGAGTGCAATGGGCTGACAACTCAATGAAGGAAAATGCAGCTTTTCTGGAGATGTAAACAGTGCAGCAAAATCGGCGGCGGTCAAGCCGCATAGTGTAGACAGCTACAGACATATCGACAGTGAGAGCCTGACACGTGCAAGACGGCAAGACTCGTCCTGCTGCCACTGTTTCTCTTGCTGGCCTGGGCACACACACAGACACACACGCGCACACACGCAGACAGACAGACAGACAGACAGTGTTATTGAGGTATGTGCTGTTCGTGGACTTAGATGCGACCTTGTCATAGTTCGGAAGCCGGCTGGCCTGTAAAATTGCTCTTCCACCCGTAGGCTGCACAGTGCGCAACACCGTCCGAAACGCTTTGGTAAGATCGTTCAGATTTCATACGGAGAGCGGTGGTAAAGGACTTTAGCAAACATGTCGCCTCCTGTCCACACTGTTTGCGTCACGGGCCCGAGGGAATCATCCTACTTCAACCATCTCGGCCGCTCTCCTAGAGACAGCTTTCGTGGTTTCCAAGCGTGCCCTAAACCTGAAACCTGGGCCCCTGAACCGTAAGACCCTAAACCCTAAAATCCATGAACCCGAAAACCTTCAGGACAACCTGAGCTGTAAAAGCCACACACACAGAGTGGACTGCTCAACCGATGCAATGCTGAAATGCCGGCTGTTCAGCTGCAGTTTCCAGCTCGCACAGCCCTGTATCCTGAGAGGAAAGCACTTGCTCAAAAATGGGGTCCATGGTCTCGCATCACTACACTACGCAAACAAGCTTTGCTCCTCCGGATCTTCAGCGCTACACCCGTGGCCGAGCGCAACATGGCCAGGAAGGCCCCGCGGTCCTGCGGCTCAGCATCGAACACGAGCGGGTCTCGGGCGTGGCCGCAACAAGACCCGGCGGTCCCGCGGCTGAAATCGAACCGAGGCAAAGCCACCACCGCCACGCTTGGTGACCGTGCCGCGAAAGACAGCTCCCTGTCGGGACAAACTCGCTGTGGGCTGACATGGCAGAGGAGCACGCATACGAGTTCGACGGAGAGAGCCTGGGCCTGGTCGGACATCACCAGCTCGCTGTCAGAGCGGCCGCCCATGACGGTGTCGTTCACGATGAAACCGGCAACCTCCGGGGCTGTCGGATTGTTTTGCCACGGACCCCATCCTTGTGGAGGTCCTCCAGGCCGCGTTTTGCGGAGAAGTCTCGGATCATCGCCGGTGCCGGGACACCTCTGCGCCACAACGGTCACACGAAAGTTCCGACTGTGGACCCGACACGGAGTTGAAGTTCTGGCAGTGCAACTAAGCTCTGCGCTTTCCGACGGTGAGGGCTGGGAGGCGGCCTTTGCCACGGCGTCCAGTGCTCGACGGAGCTCCCAAGCTCTCGAGTCGGCGTTGGGTAGCTGCTGCAGCGAGTCGAGTGACCGCCTGTAGGCGCAGTCACAGTCAGCGACTCACCGCTCACAACCCGAAGCCTCATTTGCTAAACCTTCAGGACCGAGCTGGAGGGTGGCGCGGGCGCCCGACCCCAGTGATCCTGAATGACACTCGAACTGACGTAAGCTGCAGGTGGGATCCAGGGCATGTGCTGTGCATGGCCTGCCTCCGTCGAGGAGCCTTTTCGCCGCTTCCGCGTAGACCTTCCAACATGCACATCAATAAACAATCATCCAGACAAATACTCATCGCCTGTGCACAGCCGTCGGGATTTCCACCGTTGTACAGCGGCACACCTAGCTGCAATTCGATTACATCACCACGGCATATGGCTTAGTTCCTGCTGCAACAACAGAATGCAGCCCACCCTTCTGGATAGCCGCAGCAATGACACTTTTAGCGTCAGTGGCGCCTGGTGGCTGGCAGAACAAACTTGTTCTGTATACTTCAATTCAAACGCTTCAATCCACGGCCTTGCGGAGGTGATCCGGCTTTGGGAATCGCCCCGGCCGCCTTGAAACAGCATCCTTCTTTGATGAAGTGTGCCGAGAATGGTTGCCCAGGCGTGAAGTGTCAAAAGGACCCACCGCGGTGCCGCCAACTAGTCCTCCTCCCTGGCCCAAGACGGCTACCCGATCTGCCCAATGCGTCGGATTAAAGAAGTCGTAATAATAACAACACGTATTCCTTGCCTCCCCCGGTACATCTCGCCAGTACAACAGCTACCACTTGCCCGGTTGAAAACCCCCAGTTGGCATTATCATACCTGAATGGGCAAAAACGCCCTCATAGCATGCTTCGTGGTTTGTTTGAAGGTTGTAAACAAGACAGTAGGTGTGACCCGCAGTCGTGAAAGGTCCGCAGAGGCCTGAGGCAAGGTGGTTGCAAATAGTTATTCTTAAGAAAAGAATATGATTTTTTTAGGCTTTTGGGATTGATTGGAATGGGAAAAAACAGGATTTTGGGTAGCATGGGACCCGCTCTCCCGGAAGCCTGCAATGCAGGATTATACGGGCTTCTGTTATTTCCGTGTTATTTTCCCTATTGTGGGCCCACTTATTTCTTGTTGTTTCCCTATAACGGAAAACAACACAAACAGGCCCACAATAAGAAATTAATAGGAAATCCAGTGGCAATAAGGAACCACTAGGATATCTATTGGGAAAAACAGGCCAAAAAGGAGGGGGGGGTGGGGCTGTTTCCGTTTCTATTTCCTATTGGTGGAAATCTGATAACCCTACTTTTTTGCTATTGAATTCCGGCAAAAGTAATTGTTTGCAAGAATCTCTGTCTGGCCAACACCAGGACGTCTCAACCATAGTCAGGTAGACAACGCATTTACACTGTTGCAAACTCTCATCATGGTCTGGTTTCTCCATCAGGTTTAAGCCAGGCAACAATTACAAAATCTTGTAACCACTTCAGATGAAGCTAAGATTTTCTGGACATGTCGCATAGTACTTTGGCACGTTGTTTTACGTCGCTCCCACAAATAGCACATGCGAGTGTTTGATCTTGGTTTGACTGAGATTCGCCCGCTGACCTCTCGGCGATTTCCGTTTGCATCTTGCCCTATGGATGCCATTGCTCGTCTGCATCCCAATGTCTCGGTCTCTCGTGTGCTGATCTCGACATGCAAGTTGTTGAACAAATTGACGCTCACGGTTTTCAAGCTGACGTTCATTAGTTTCTTCGCCTGTTTCCGCTCCTTTCCTCATTGCACCTTTCCTTGTATCCATGTATTCAAAGCACGTCGTTGCATGTTCCTTTCGTGATAGATACTTGCAAATTTGTGCCCAGCAGCTCCCCCCAACATGTGTTCGGCTCTTCCGCTGTGTACATCTATCTGACTACCATTTGTCCCAAAAACGAAAACGGTGACATAAAATGCACCCGTTCCTGAGTTCTGCAGCCTTTTCCAAGTCAGCTACGCGATAAGATCTGGTCGAAAAGCCGGCGTCCCGAAGGCGCTATTGGCCATCATCTAAAGAGTCCGGAAGAGTTGTGCCTCAGGATCAAGGGGAAGGAGGTGCGCACCGACGAACTTGCCCCACACCACCCTCAGGTAGAACACAACGTCAACCAAAGGTCTCACAGCAAGCCCTATCAAGAGGCTCGGATAGTGCAGCACGGTGTCCTCAAGTGGACAAAGAGAACAACACGGTCGATGGTGCGAAGCTGCCTAAATGGGCCGATCCCGATGTGGTCTCCTCCATGCAAAGCCCGAAAAGCCAAGGAAGCTAGACTGCCGCCTACAAGACTAACTTGCAATTGGCGCCCCAAGGCCATAAACTCGAACCAAAAGGTCTGATCATCCGCACAACATCTCGTCAGAAGTGATGTGGTAAGGTCGGCTTAGCTTTGCGAAACAAAGGCTTATTCTCGGAGGCGGTTTGGGAATCCAAGCCCAGCTTACCGGAATCGCGGAACCGAATCTCGGAATGGCATAACTCAGCAAAATTTCGAGATTGATGGAATACCACGTTGCCGGATACCTGAAGCTAAGGCATCTATGGTCAGTTACAGTCGAAGGTTTCTAAATTTTTGCTTGAAAATCTAGCAGCATCTAGCAGCACATAGCATCACAAACGGGTTATGGAATGCCCCCCCGCCCCGTTGCCTCCTTCTGCCTTCAACTTTTATGGGCTTACATGCAATGCTCTGCAGAGAACACCGGGAGCACGACAAGTTGCTCATCAAAGGCGCGGCGGAAGGCCCACGCAAGCTGGTCGGCCTCGTCATGTGGGCGAAATGTGGAACAGATCCGGAGTGTTGACAAAAGTCATCAGGTGTGGTAAGGAAGGGATGTAGTGGAGACCTTGTATCATGCCACAAGCATGCCTAGCAAAGGTACGGCGGGGTGCACCTTAAACTTCCTTGAGACGGCTCTGTAGGATGCGAGTAAGTGCAATGAGTCTAATGGCCTCAGAAGGCCCTGGCAAAGAGCCCAGCGCACCAGCAACTGTCAGCGCATCTGTGAGGGATTTCCTGAGACAACAGAGTCCTTCTGCAGCTTCCAACCCTGACAAAAACAGAACAGTGGATCGTTTGCTTGGCCCACGACGCCACAGGCTCCCGCAGCTCGGCCCGCTGGTCCAGCAAGAGTTTTCTTGCTGTATCCTGCTACACCACCATACCCCACTACCAGAAGTCACTCTCGTCTATCATGACGATGATGCCAAATAAATATGTTGGCAGACATCCAGGGCAAGACCCATCCTCGTAGATACGAGCGCACATTGCCACCTGACCGGCCTCTTCGTAGACTGAAAGTGCGCCGGAACACACTGCTTGAAACGAAGGCAGCTTGAAGGCTAAGTGGCTGGCATTATACAGTGGAGCTCCGGTCTCGATGGCATTTCGAATCAGCGCTCCCGCCATCTTTGCGATCTCCGTTTTGAACACTTTACTTCTAGAAACACTGTGCAGCGAGGAAAGCTTGTGCGATGCGTACTGGCAGACGCTTGGTGGATCTCATGAAATTCACACGCACATGCGCACACGTTGCAAGTCCAGACCTGATCCAGACTTCGACGTCACGCAAGAGAGCCCTGTTGCAAGCATGAACATCTTTCTCAGACACAGCGATGCCTGGAATTTAGAAAATATTGTAACCTCGAAGATCTTAGAGATGCCTTCGCACAACACCAAACGCATCAGGACCGCTGCCAGCTGCTCAAATGAGCAGCACTCCGCAGAGAGGTTGCCCTGCCATGCCATGTCACGGCTGAAATGCGCAGACAAACCCTGGGCTATTCTTCGCCGACTCCCGGGCCTGCGTAGCATCCTGGACCGCCCCCGCATCCACGGCGTGATTTATCGCCAGCCTGGAAACAAACTTCGACCACTGCCAGTATCGCAGCTTTCCGATGCTTACCTCTCTCCTGCACTTATAGGACATCTTCTCTGCAGACACCACAGGAATCATTCGAACATCAGCGCATGCAGATACCCTGAGCAACTGGCTGAGACTCCTCAGCATACGGCACCAGCGCCTCAGCAACTGCCCATCCCGTGTTGAAATCGTTGAACTGACAGCTGCCGGCCTGGGTTTTCTCACTTGGCTCGGTGGAGCATGCCGCACCTCTGCAAGCTTCAGCTGCCCTGTACATGTACATGAAAACACCTTTGCACTACAGATGGGAAAAGGGCAACAACGAAAGCCTTTTGTGTCATCTTTGCGGGCGTCACCAGTCTGCTCAGCTTTCACAGTTTCAAAAAGCAGAATCGTCGCTGCTCCTAGAAATAACAACTCTTCCAAATCAATTGTGAGACACCACTCACACGTGTCGTCAAACAACGAGGTTTCTTCAATCGTGCCCACACACATGAAACAAGAAAGCATCTTCTCATAGTTTCAACCATGTCGCATCACGGGCATCACGTCCGCTTTTTAAGGGAATGCTCACTTGAATGCTCACTTGATCTTGATGAACTTCATGCCTTGGTCCGTTCGAATCCCTACAATACCGAAGTCCGTGCGGCATACAAACACACGACTGTGTGCTTACCGCGGATTGCAGGTCTTACCAGACTGCACCTCATGCAGTGCTCAGGATGTACCAGTCCCAGGTACCAACATACAACGCAGGCACCGCAACCAGCTTCCATCCAGCCTCGCAAGCGGCTTGAAAATGTACACATCCAGCTATGTGACAGGCTTGACGGCTAGAAGGCACTTCGCTACATGATCCACGTGAGATTGCGTTGCACCTTCGAGCAGAACTCAGACGACTTCTGGACAAAGCTCTTCTTCTCCTCCTCCAATCAAGCTGCAGTCCAACAGAACTCCCACACTAGCAGTAGTATTGCAAAGAACCATGTGTCATCGTTCACCTGCCAACAATGGTGCCAGTAAGAGTATAGGCCAGAACGGAAATTCCGAACCCGAGCTCACGAATCGGGAAATAGGACCTAGAGATAGAAGTGGTAGTAGAACTGTGATGCGGCATGTCAACACCAATCTCGTCCATGTCTACACCAGACAAGCAGATCAGCACGCACACTCCTCGTCACCCGCGAGCTTGCTTAGAGCGGCAAAGTGCGCCGTGCACTTGTCAAGGTCGCCCCCTCACCATGCCGGACCATGCTTGTGACGTGACACTGTATGGAGCGAAAGATGTGCAGACAAGACACCGCTTATGCAGGCCGAGATAGCATCTCAGCAGGGACCATATTCAATGCATCCGAACGGCATCAGCGATGTGCGTGTTAATACGAGGCAGGGCACTGCCAAAAGGGTCACCGGCACTGGCTGCAGGTTCGGACGGGGCCATCTTCCTTCCTGCAAGTGCTTGGTGGGGATTCCACTGCCGAGCGACTCCCACCTACATGCAACCTGATGCAAGACATAAGCAAAGAGCATCATCCGAACCTGGATGCCGCAAAGGCTGCCGCTAGAACAGAGAGCACTTCTGCGAAGTGCTGCTGAGATCAACACGGCGACGGAATGACGATGTCTTGACAAAAACCAAACAATATAACTCAAATCAACACAAGCTGTTCTTGGTGCCTGAGTGCTGTCTTCCCTGATATGCCGCTAGTCACACATCCTTGACGACTGCGGCAAAGACGAGGCCCCGGCCCATCGACACGTCATCTCTTCGCTACCGCATCACGAAGCTGTTGCCACAGAACGTCAGCGAAGACCCAACTACTCTAAGCATATGATGTGAGCATTAACTGCTTTGCTTCATGTCGCTAGTGGAGGCGGAAGTTTTTGAACAGAGAGCAAACCAATTCGCATAGCATCCACTCACGCTTTGAGCCAACGCTGCGGCCGCGAAACCCTAGAGTACGACGAGTACGAAGAGTCCGTGCTGTGTTTCGCTTTTTCTTGATCGGCAATAGGGTTGAAGCTTTAGGGTGTTCCGAGACTGCACTTTCTTCGTTTACTGGTGCTGCACTGCGGCGCCTGCACACCTGTGCGTGTGACGGCCTTTTTGCCTGAGTCGTCGTGGCTTGGGGTTGCGAGGCTTTCGGTTCTATGGCTTCGAGCTTCCATGTTGCAGGTCCAAGTCAGGGGACTCGTTTCGCGGACTTGCTTGGCCGAAAGATTGCAGGGGGGAGGAGGTTGTGTCCATGCAGTCAAGGAATCAAAAAACCCTGCTCTACCAAATCCCATGTCTAGGCTCCTTCAGAACCTGCAATTCCGAGGCTGTGACACTTGACCTTCAGCTTGGCTCTGGATTTTGGTAATGCAAGCTCCTCCCAAATGAACCCTGAACCAACCCGACAGCTTTCAACCCTAGCCATTCCCAATTAAACCGGAAAACCTTAAGCCTCAAGCTCCCAATCACAGCCAAGCTCTAAGCCTGTCGAAACATTAAAGCCTAAACCGCCGAGACACTAAGCCCGAAATTGGCTCGAGATGAAACCCTAAACGCAGGAAGCTGTATCCAAAAAGCCGAGTGGCTCTTTAAACCCACAACCTGCTAAACCCTGCGGCATCTTGAAGCTTATTTCAAAATGGGACTTTGCAGCTTCTTGGCTGAGTTACAAACTCAGTCAACCAGGAAATGCTCAGAAACTTGCCAACAAGGCAAGGCTCGGACAACTGCAGCGCATAAGCGCCAGACTCGCGGTTTACGGCGAATGTTTGGCAGGGAAAACCCTTTATTGTTCTCCAATTTCTCCGTTTCAACATATTAATATTCATTACGACTTCATCTCGTGGAAGGACACAGGTTGACACATCGATCACGAATTGCCCCAGCAGAGTTCCGGTTCCGGGGCTCCCAAAAACCGCGAATTTAGGAAACGACGAAGCCCGTAAAGGACAGAGCAACACGGCATGACCTATTGTCTGCGTGCTCCGCGACGTCTCGTCAAATTGTCACGAACAAGCCTTGTACGGGGTTCTCAGCGGACAAAAAATGCCGAGTGGAAGTGCGGCAAATGCTCTGTGACTGTTGGTGCCAGGTAACCAGGTAACCGCGAGGTAACCACCACGCTCCCGGACCTCTGGCTTCTCCACAGCTCCCTCACCTCTCAAACTCAAAGAGCTAGACTGTCAAAATCTACAAGGCGCCTGCTTTGCAATTCCCCTTGCTCACTGGGCTTCTCCGCTCACGAGGTTGTCGACGAGAGGACCTGACGGAGCAAGTCTCCAAGGCGAGGCTGGGGGTGCAGAGGGTTAAGGGTCAAGTCCCTTAGTCGCAGTGGCTTCTTTTCGGCGCGTCATCGACTGTAGTGGTGCAGGAGACGCAGCAAGCTGAAGCAAACCCCAACGAGCTGAAGCAGACAAAGCGAACCAGACATTCTGGAACCTGCTTCGATTGAATTGACTCTCACTGTGCCATGTAGTTTGCGCATACAAAGGCCACAAAGGGCCAAAGAAGGATCGCAGGCCGGACCTGTCCATCAGCAAAAGATTCACCTCATCACTGGAACTGTTGAGCACTGTGGAGTTCCATTTGCGCTCCAGCCCGCCTGTGTTATTCTTAAGCTCGTCACGAGTGATGTAGAGCAAAGCAAACCAAACATCTTCCTCTTCTTGAATTTCGGATGGAAGGCCCTGCCAAAACACTGATCGCTTGTCTTGACGATGCCCTGCATGGCGCTGATCTCGTCCACCTTTGCTGTCGCCGCCATGCGGCTCCAAGCCAAGCAGCAGCACCCTGCTGTCGTCCAAAGGCAACACGGCGACTGAATCTGAGACTGCCTGACCATCTGCAAGAGACAGCACCGTGGCTTTGCCTTTGCGAGCCTTTTGGATGGCAAAATGCAGAATCTGCATGGATTCGTTGAGAGGCTCGACGAGTCACGGAATACGGGAAGATGTCGGCCAGTGTCACTTTGAGTGTTGGCTGGTTTTCAGACGGCGCCAGCAGAATGGTGTAGGTCCAAAGCCGGACGCCCACATCCAGCAAGTTCCCAGCGCCTGTGGTGCCGCTAGCCTGTGCCTCCAGCACTTCTTCCAACTCCTCCCACCAGGCCTGAAGATAATTCAGGTCAGGCTGCTGCTGAGCCGCTTGGCGCAAGAAGGCCGGCACGAACTTGGGGAGGAACACCGCATCAGGCCGAAGCTTTTCGAGCGTGTTGGCGTATGCACCCTCTGACAGGAGCTTTGAGACACGGTGGCCACCAATCTCCTGCTCGAGTTTCACTCGCAAGCGATGAGAAGGAGGGGGCTGGAGCCAGGACAGCACGATGTCGTACCTAACATAGAGATTTGCATCCACCAAGGTTCGATTCTCGAGGCCAACTTGGCGGATTCTCGAACCCAACTCTGGCTCGGCAGTGATGGTCCCTGCGGCCGAGACAGGAAATTGCTTCACGGCCTCAGTCAGGTGTTCCAAGGCACGAGCGAGAGGGGCACATACTCCACCACGAGAGGCCTCAGCACCGGCTTCTTGCAGATTTCTGTTTTGTCGACAGACTGTCACTGCAAAGCTCTGCAATGCTGTTTGCACAGCGCTGGACATTTTCTTGGGACTTCTCCTCGAAGAGCACCTAATTCTGCAGGGCGTCGTCAATTCTCTGCTCCGGTAGCACAATGACCTTCACATCTCTTTGGCTGACGGTCTGCTCGGCAACTTCGCCGAGGCCGGCTTCCATCACCATCACTGAAAATTGCAGATTCTTGACGCTCGCGGTCGTGCACAGGGATCACAGGGCCGAGAACTCATCTCCATCAGCAACTTTGGCAAGCGGCCGCTTTCGTCTACAAGGATGGTTAGGTTCTCGATGCCATCACGTGTTTGAGCGCACTTTGCCAGCACATCTTCCAACAAGTCTGTTGTCAACTCTGTCCCAGCTCTCTGTAAGACGTTGCAAAAGTCCCTGGCGTACCTTCTTGGATCATCGATTTCAAACGTTGCGTGGAGCAGCCGTAGCACCAAATGCACGAGTGCTCTTTGTCTTGGCCGTGCGGTCAAACTTGCGCGTTTTGCCCTTGCCGCTGCTGGCTAACAGCACCAAAAGCGCTGCTTTGCGCTTTGCCCCGGAAGCTCGCAGCACTGCGTGGCCTTCTGCAAGCATCGTGACGGCTTGAGACAGCGGGCCATGCGGGCCACCCAGCTGCAGCGCAGGGACAGCTGTCGCAAGCGCTTCAAGCAGCTCAGGTGATTTATGCGCCCGGGGCAACTTGGACGCCCATTCGGGCGCTGGATCTCTCTGGGCTCCGCCCAAACTTGTTCTCTTCACGGACACCCGTGTTCGCGACCCCACCTTGTCAGCTGCAAACGCTGACGGGGCTGTGCAGCAAAGCAAGTGGACAACAAACACAACGGGGCACCACCATGGCAGACGCCGCCGTGGCATTGCTTACAACACCTGTCAAGCTAAGTTTGAGAGGAGCATGTGACTCATGACCCGTTTGCTGTCCAT